ATATTGGAGACGCAGGATCTGCCAGGAAGAAAGCCGCGTTGGGTTTTGGAAAGAAGCTGATTGTCTATTAGGTGTTTTAGGATTACCCTCTTTAAGACCCGTTAAAGGACCTTGCTGGGCACGCTAGTCAGGCTGATGGGTCTACAACTACTTGGAGTCTGTCGATCCCCTTTTTTAAATTCGGGAGTTATGATGCCTCTTTTCCGATATGAAGGCAATATTCCAACATCTAGACACTTCTGTAAATGGGTGGAATGGTACGAGGTAAGAACCAAGGCGGCCCTTTTTAACACTCAAGAGTAAATTCCGTCTGGTCCCATCCAACTGAAGCGATTCAAGGATTTAAGGAGTGATTCGATCTCCCCTGGAAGAATGAGGAAATGTTCTAATGGAGGCGGAGTGGTAAAAGAGTGAAGTTCGGAGTGGGAAGAGACAAGAGGGAAATTAAAGGCGGATTCATCATGAGACCGGAAGATTTCGGCTACCTCAGCAAAGGAGGTTAAGAGAGAGCCGTCAGGTAACTTGAGTGCTAGTGCCGAGGGGGTTTGTTGCCTTCTACTGCGACTTGACTTAAATAAAGAATTAGGGTTACTTCTGGCGCGAAGAAGAATCGCTTTCTGTTGTCTATTGTGGAATTCCCTATGTGCCTACATAAGTTGCGAATTCGCTAGTCTAGCGAATGAACGCGCCCTCTCATCCATAAATGAATGGAGCGGGGTAGCGGGGCCTATGGTCTGATACAGCTTGAACTCTAGGAATAAACAAATGGTCTACTTCGTGAATTAGACTCTGGGGCGACTCACTTAAGTAGTTTGGGGCAGTATCAATATTGCAGTAGCTTGGCCTGTTGGTCAAGAATTCTCGGAAGGGAACAAAATCGTCCCTTTTGAAGGAACGTAGCATTCTGAAAGAGGGACTGCATGTTGGCCAGCGGATAACAAAGTCAAAGGATAGCAGGATGTGATCACTTTTACCAACAGGATTTAGATACAAAATCATGTCGACCTGGTGTCTTTCGTTGGTAATCGCAAGATCAAGCAGAGATGGACGTTGACCGACACGGTATCTCGTGGGAGATACTAAGTGTTGGTACCGCGAGTGTTCTTTGAAGAGGTTTATAAGGGATACACCAAAAATTCTATCTCTAGAGTGGCACCTGGGCCAGTCGATGCTCGGGGCGTTAAAGTTGCCCAGGATAAGAAGGTGTGAGAAAGTGCAGGTGAGATGGAGGTCACGAAGCTGAGTCAGATGAGGTTGATTCCTCCAGTTTGCTTGATGAGAAGCGATAAGCAACCTCCAGGAGGAGTGAGTCCCTGCTTGGGAAGACGATGTTGACCAATGGCGTCTCAGTAGATTAGATGGTGGGATAAGAAACGTGCAAAGCGCGCCGGAGGCAATTATTAAGGAAGAGAGCCACTCCACCCACATGACCACGGTTTGAGTCCTGTCTGAACAGGTTGAAACCATCTATCATTATTTCGCCATCTAGTATCTCTTGATTGAGCCATGTCTCAGTTAGGACTATTGCGTGTGGCTTCTTGTCACGCGCCAGTTGCCGCAGTTCAAGGATTTTATTAGTTATACTTAGGCAATTGGTGAATAATAATAACAATAATAATAAACACTTCAGAACCTGCTCAATATGTAGTTCAGCAGGTCTAGTAAGCTGGCAGGGGTCGTAGGGGAGTTTTGGAGTGGTGGAGTTTCGACGGTTTGCCCCGAAGGGGTTGCGGCACCTGTGAGAGCATCTTGGAGGGAGATGCCAAGTATTTGGCATCCATGCGGCGTACTGGCGAGGTAGACTTACCAGTTTTTGGGGTTTCATTCTGTTCGGTGGGTGAGAGCAGTCTACAGAGCGCAGAAAATGGGGTTGGCGTATCTTATTTTTGTTGCAGTCCTATCTCAGCTTTTTCTCTGGGAGTGACCTGGAGACGTTTGCCAACTATATGGGTTTAGGCGCAGGAGGATTGCACCTTTGGCTTCTAGGTTTGGAGAAATAGTATTTAGGTTGCGCCACGGTAGGAGTAGAGGTGATTGCCTTGGGTGGTGGATTACCTAGCAGCCCCTTCATTCCAGCTAATGGTCGAATGGTGGGCACCTTGATTAGGCATTGGACCTTAGCTTAGACTGGGGTGGTTTCATAAGTGAAATTAACTTGTGGTTGAAGATCCCGAATATGGTTGGTTCCCCTGTGTTTATGCCCGTGAAGCTACCTTCGGGAGTGCTGGCGACTAGTGGGGTGAAGAAATTTATCGTAACTTCGCAATCTGCAGCCGCGTGACTTTGACTGCAGTACGCATTTCTTCGCCACCAGGTTTTTCGTCCAATCTTCTGATATGAAGAGGAAGGTCTCGGGTTATTCCTGTGATGTATTTAAATCTCTTCATCATATTAGTTTGAGCAAGACAGTGGCAAAATGTTGCGCTCCGGCTAAACTCCATCAGGATGCCTGTGATCGTTTTCTTAGTCTTTGTTCGAAGCTAGGAACAATTGATTGGGTTCAGGATCTCTGGTGATGATACTAATATTCATAAAAACGGTATATTCCACGAAACCCGTGAAGCATGCTAGTGTGCATGATCAAATGTACAACAGTGTAAAAAGAACGACGGTCTAGACAAAGTTAATTGTACAGAGAGTGTAATAACGTAATTCTCAAACGGGTACAGAAGACATCGTAAAGATGGATTGCGGTGAGAGAAAAATACAAAGCGGACAAGGTCATACAATAGAGTACTGGGGGTGATCTGTTATGGAGATCACATCAATGTAAACGATTGTCTTCTGAAGAACATCGAGGAAGACACAGAACTGCAGGTGGGAATATCCGCTCGGGAGATAATGCGCGGAAACGAGTTCGAAGAACAGCATGAGAATAATCAATGTGGAAGAATTACAATTTCGGAGGAAGAGTTGCAATCGAGCCATGGAAGTGCACAGTGATATAGAAGGACGGCAAATGAATTATAAATNTGTTTCAAAGATCGGTACAGATGGAATGTCTTCTTTGAACAAGGAATAATGAGCTTCGGGGTTTCACCGTTACGGATTGCCTGGTTTACATTATTTATGTCATTAAGGCATTGGTCGCTTTGACACCTAACCTCGTAAGTGAGGCAGGTGGTGTGATCCTCAACCGGGTCCGGAATGCGGACGCATGTAGTCAAGGCGGTGGAGATAGCCGCGTCCGACAACCATTGCCGGAGCCAAATCGTCCATTGTGGGTGTAGACCTTAAGCCTTCATCAGGTCCAAGCCAACTGAATCCGGAAAAAAAGGGCGAAACTCGGCAGTCTGAGGCAATAACCAGCTGAGATGGGCAGAGGCGGAAAATAGCATGTTGCGAATGATTATGCGGAGAGGTTTAATGCCCAAATGTGTAGATATACCTATATATAAATATATTTATGTAGAGGAAAAACGGACTGGGGTGGATCAGTTGGATTGACATGACAGGACGGAACTGAAATGAAAAGAATTATGAGTGAAAATACTCGTGTAGGGTTTCCCCTAAAAGGTTCGTATTCCACTGATCTACCTTTGAAGCTCGACTAGTGTACTGATTGGAGAAGAGTTGAAAGGTGAACATTGATGCCCAATCAGAATGCGCCACGGATATGAGGAGAATCTGAGGGATCGAGATGAGAGCATGGAACCAAAATATCAATAACTCTGGGTGATAAATCTAGTGCAAATAGTAACGACTCTGAAAGGATTTCGAGTTAGGATTATTGAGTCACAATAATGTATAAGTATGTACCAGAATTTATTGCATTCCACACATCCAGCTTTGAAACTGAATCCGTGTATTGACACGAATTTGGTGTATTGACAAGAATTGGGTCAAGAAAGTGGACACAGCTACCTGGTTAGCATGTGCCGCGAAAATTGGGCCAAGTAACTCAGTTGAAAAAGGTACCAGAAACATTTCGAGTGTTGAATAAGGGGTCTATGTACGGCTCGATAGTTCATTGTTATTTNACGTGTACACAGCAGTTTGGCTAGCAAGTCTCGCGGCTGTACGTCAATTAATTTGCACTTGAGTGACGCGAAGCCGAATCGATACGAATCCCAAAGTAAAAACATAATTGATCCGCAGTGTTCTATGGTACTGAATTAACAAAATCATTACAAATGTACAATAGAGCAAACCTCAAATATGCGGCCGAGAGCACTCAATCAAGCGAGCCAAATAAGATGTCCAGAGAGAGCCAAACAATCGCTCACGTGCTCTGACCACGCAAAATTCAAATGCGCCAGGCATCGNNNNGTTATTTCACCATAAATCATTATGGGTTTTGGAAGGATTTTCAAAACATTCAGCATGAAATACATCGGGATATTGGGTTATCGAGATTGTGGCGTTCTAATAATTCGAGCCCGTGTGAACTCCCACTTCTGTTTGAAGGATCACACCTGTTATGAAAAACGCATTTTCCACCTTGAGGAAGTCCTGGAACATCATTTTGAACTTGTTCGCTGAAGCGCATTCGCGGATCTCAGAGGGAAGCAGATTCCATAAAGGAGCGCATTTCATCAGGAAGAAATTGGTTTGGAGGGAGATGCGAGACCTGGGGATCAGTAGCATTGATCTACTATTACGGAAGCTTGTTTTGTAGAAGGTATTCATTCATACGTTTTTTAACCAGGCGCGCGAAAAGTCTCCATACGCTGGGGGGGGGTAATAATGTGGCAGTAGTAGGAAACGTGATGTAGGGGGCCTTTTTTGTGTTGCGAGATTATGGTAGAAATTTTCCATTGACTGGGAAATTTGCCATATTTCAGTGAGAGGTTAAACATGTCTGTGAGTATAAAAGGAATATCCGGCCCACCAGATCGTAGCAGTATGGGAGGAATTTCATCCATACCAAATCGAGGGAAAGGTTTAATTGCAAGAAGGGGTTTGGTCAGCTCATAAGGCTGCAGTTCTATGTGGGATAGCGTAAGCTCAAGTGAAGAAACATGAAAAACGGAGACAAGGGGTGTGTCGATGATCATAGAAGAGCTTACCAAAGAGTTAAAAGTGTTTGCATTAGATTCAGGTGAATTGGTGACTGAATTATCTGGCAATTTCAAGTAACTTATGTTGGGATGAGAATGAGCATTTTGGGATCGTAAAATACGTGACATAAGTGCCAGTTTATCTGGTTTAGATAAAGCAGCAGTTTCCTGTTCTTTAAGTATTTTGTTTGTAAGATTTCGGATTTCATCGGATATTTTATGTAACGAAATGAAAACGGAAAAGTCATGGGATTTGAGTAAGAGGATTGGGCTTTTGCGTATTTATTTTTCAAGCGAGTTATGAGGTCAGATCGATTATACATGGAACGGGTGCGGTAGGAGGTGATGAGTGTCAAGCTATGTATAAAGTTAGAGTATAATATGTTTGCCGCTTGCTGGGGATCAGATGTTTGGAAAACTTCATCCCAGTTACTAGCGCGCAGGAGAGCCGGAAAGAGATCCTAAGAAAAGTAAGATTGAGCAGAATTAGGATGAGAGTTCTCTTTCTGATTACCGGGGGCAAAGAATTTACAAGAAACCATTTGGTGATCGCCACTAGGGATATAACTGAGTGTACGAGTATCTACACTAGAAAGATTTAGAGTGAAAACCAAATCAATTATGTCATTTTTCCTCGCATTTTTCCTGCCTCTCGGGGACTAACTTGACCCTACGAGTTGGGGAGTTCCTGCTGGAAACGTCCCCCATATTGACATGCGTTTACTGCACTCTTCTGTCTCAGACAACTTACTGGCCGTATCTAAGATGATTTGATCAGAGACTTTGAGGGTCTTTTTGCTGGCTTCAAATTGGGGAGAAGGGCCTAAAAGTATTTCGTTTACCTCCACCAACTCAGCCTCTGGTTTGGCAACTTTCGTCTTAGGACCTAATTTTGCCTCGCTTTGTGATAAGTTCAACCTGTTTTGTGCCACTGGTGAAGTGTCCATTACCGTGGTGTCAAGATGCATGGGTAGCGTTTCCTCATCCAGAGATACATCCGGGATTGAGACATTACCACTATTTGCATTTAGCATTTTAAGAGAAAGTTGTGGTATATTATCAGAAGAATACGAAACAGCAATAAGTGGGAAATGCAGTGGGGTACTAGGGTATTGCACACTAAATATTAGTCTTTGATATCCTGGAGGCCGCAGCCTAAAATGTGATACCAGAGGAGTTAGAAAAGGATTAATAGCAGATAAACGGGTGGGTTATTTTGAAATAAACCACTGGTAGGCGCGAAAACGGATTTTCGGAGTTAGCACTCAAAAATTTCAACCTGGCGCCAACTCACCGCAGTCCCTGGGATCCTGGGGAACTAAGACGGATGGTGGAGTAATTGACTTAAGCAAATGGCTACACCCCCTGCGCGGCCTCGGTTTGAGTCGTTCCTCGGAAGTGTATAGCCATCAATTTTGACTTTCCAATTTAAGATATCCGGTGTTAGCCATGTCTCTGTTAGATTTAAAACATGTGGCCAGAGAAATTTTATCCTTTGTTTTAGTTCAAGTACATTATTACAAAGGCTTGAACAAGGGGTGTAGATGCATTTCAACACTTGTTGTCACATTCAAAAAGAATGAAAATTCCTCTTAATTATCTTGCATTTCCTTACC